GATAAATAAAGGTCTCATGGCAACAGAAAAATCTTTGATTTCATACAAGATGTACAGTGTAAATATTTTATTGCCTATAGACCAGACCAGAGTAAGAAACTAACATTGCTGCTTACGTTCCGGAAAGATCTAAACTCCTCTTCTTCATTTTATGTTTTTCTTTTGATAAATCTTTGGGTTTAAAAAAAATCTATAGAAATAGCATTTTGTTCCAATGGTAGCAATAAAACTAATCCTAAAAGGCAGGCCTTTGCTTCTCTCTGTCTCCCTGGGTAAAGAGGGGAGGTTGAGAAAAGTTTTAAGAAACACATGAATAATGCTGATACCCTCTGATTCAGAATGCACTTATGCTTCAGGTACATTCTTCTACCGATGAAACAATATCAGCTTGAGTGATCAAATTTAATCAGTGCACCATTATTGTTTACGTCTATGATGACAAACAGTGCACTGTAGTTTAATCGCTTGACTGTTTTAGCTTTAACTAGTTCTGTCAGAGAGTATTTCTGGCCTGAAACACTGATCGTTCATCTTTCTAAATTCTGATATGATCGTTACATTGTCAATTAAACAATAAACTGAAAGAAGCATGACCCTTGATAGCAAGTATCTTTAAACCATTGCTTAAGTAGGCATGTCCACACAAGGCTACAATCTCAGCAAGACTGAGCCTTAAACAGTTCTCTTTAATTTTATGGCAGCTGCCTGTGCAGCGCCCAGCTGCTCTGGCTGCCTCACCTGCTGTTACAGAGAAGGTGAAGGCACACCTTCAACCCAGCAGCTCTTACTTTAACTGCCTGGAGAGTTAGATGTCTGAGCAGGATTCTTTTGAAGATAGAGTTTGAAAAGTAGTTTATGTGGAAGATGCTCTTTATTCTCCTTTCACACCATGGCTTCACTGTCTCAAACGGAAAAGGGCCTCAGAAAGCAATTTGTTCAGATATCTCTCATGAATGTTAGAAAAAAACAACAAAAACAGCTTAGCAACAATTTTTCTCTGCATAAAAATTACACATCCGATATTGAAACTGGGCATTACTAAACAATTCCAATGGGCCCATTTTTTAAATACTGAGATTGCATTTTTTTTAAAATATATTTTATTGATTTTTCACAGAGAGGAAGAGAGAGAGAGATAGAGAGTTAGAAACATCGATGAGGGAGAATCATCGATCAGCTGCCTCCTGCACACCCCCACTGGGGATGTGCCCACAACCAAGGTACATGCCCTTGACTGGAATCGAACCCAGGACCTTTCAGTCCGCACGTCGACGCTCTATCCACTGAGCCAAACCGGTTTTGGCCTGAGACTGCATTTTGTCACTCACTGGTCCTGGCAGGAAATCCAGAAGGCTACCCCGTACCAAATTGACATTTGTGTTACCAATCTCATCCATGGACAACTGTTAATAGGCTAAGAAACTTCTAGTATACCACACATGCTGTTGTCCTGTATAGGAAACAGCTCAAGATTTTGTCAAGCACAGTCTCCGCTCTTCAGGAGATTTAAAACCGGTCCTAAGAACACTGCTTAGGCCAAGGACCCCCTCACATTCCAGTCTGTGGGAAGTGGGCGGGCTTTCTCACTAAGTGAGAACACTGATCTTCACCAACACAACCTGCTCACCTGGTATGCAATGAACAAACTAATTAATTTGCTAGGTTCCCAACAGAGAACACAAATTCCCGAAGTCTACTTTCAGTATCTGTGAAAGCCCTGTGAGAGCAAGAATACTTAAATCTGTGGATTTGATGTGTGCCCCAGGTAGCTACTGGGACCTTCCAAGGCACTTCTTCTTCTTCTTTTTTAAAAATTATATTTTATTGATTTTCCACAGAGAGGAAGGGAAAGGGATAGAGAGCTAGAAACATCGATGAGAGAGAAGCATTGACCAGCTGCCTCCTGCACACCCCCTACTGGGGATGTGTCCACAACCAATGTACATGCCCTTGACAGGAATCGAACCTGGGACCTTTCAGTCTGCAGACCCACACTCTATCCACTGAGCCAAACCAGTTTCAGCCTTCCAAGGCACTTCTAGGATGAGCAAGTAACATGAGGGGAAGCAGAGTGTCCAAGACCTCGGCCACCCTTCAACCCAGCAGCTCTTATTTTAACCGCCTGAAAAGCTAGATGTCTGAGTAGGATTCTTTTCAAGATAGAGTGTGAAAAGCAGAGTATATGAAAAATGCTGTTTATTTATTCTTAATAGAGTACGTTAATCCTTATATCATCAGAGCTCAAAAGAGTTGTAAATCTAGATCAAGTAAGATTATCTCCCTCTCTTTGAAAACACTTTTAAAGGAACATATGTCAGTGTTTCATGCACCACAGTCTTGGCTTTGATTGTGGGTTCATGTGCAAAACAGTTAAGGAGAAGGTTTCTGCTTTTGCTGTAAAAGTTTGTTAAGTAGCATTGCTTATGGGGCTGTCAAAGTCCCAAATGATACGTTCATTTCTTTCAGGAATAATTCCCAAGAAAATTCATTCTCTCCTGAAAAACAGTTAAGCTTTCTCCTATCATATAATGATATTTGATATTCCTTTAAATATCCTTTTACTTTTAAATATCCATTTACCTTTTGGCTGCTTTAGAATCTCAGAACTCAATGGGGTTCTTCATGCTAGCTACCATATTTGTTTCTTCCTTCAGTACTTTTGATGGTGTACTTCTATTTGAACTGCTTTATGTGTCCTTTTGTCACAGGCAGGCAAGATATTAATGATAAATGGACAATATGTCAATAAGTAAATTTAAAAATCGATGATCATCCTAAAAGTTACGGAAAGTCAAGAGAATTATATATTTCACAATAGTTTGCTTATGCTCAGGTCTCTTATTCTGTATCATCAACTACTGGAATACAGCCAAGTTTCCAGGCCCTATCAAAATAAATCTCCAAGGAGCTCAAAGAGATACCTTTAGAGTTCATACACTAAGATTCATGTATGCTACACGATCCTCATTTGAAGTATACTTACTCTTGTATCAGACACAGTTCTATTATGCTTCAATTAGTTTCTAATGCCCTCAAGATGAAAAACAAATCTTGAGAATGACTTACATAACTTCCCATGATGCATCTGGCGCTGTCTTCTGTTTTACCCTTATCTCTGGCACTCATCTCCTTCAGATTGCACCTGTCCCTAACTCCTGAAAGTAGGGAAGTTTACCTTCTTACGAATTCCCAGTCCAGCACATATCTCCACACAGCATTCATTGTAGATTATATAATTATACCTTATATCTCAGTTCCCTGAGAAACCTTAAACCTTATGTCTGCTTTGACTGGTTGCACCAGTAATGTATTTTTAGGACCCATCAAAAAGCTTAACTCATTCTATGTGTTCAATAAATACTCTTGTCTAAATTAATTAAATTTTATGTGTGCTTCTCTGTCTATAATGGATTGAAAGAAGCAAATTATGGAAGAGAACAGCTCTAAAAAAATTCACAGCAACATCGGTTTGATCATGTAGAAGGGCAAAAACTACAAAAAGTGGACAGAAGAACTCAGAAATCATTGGAGTCTAGAGGCAAATTGTCTTAACAATTGTTAGACATTAAGGCATGTTTAATAGCATTTAATGGCATCATTATATTAGAGTGTGGTATAATAATTGAAGTCATCAAGGAAGGGTTGGTTTTTGAACTAGAGTTAAGATAAAAAAGAAATCAGTAATTCGTCTTTAAAATGCTTTAATCCAGTGTTTCTTTGAAAGATTTCCTTATTTTCTATAGGTGAGCTTCAGTTCTTGAGAAAATAGAATCACGTGCATTCTTCTCCCCACCTCCTAACAATTTGGATAAATGAAATATTCCCCAATCTCACATTAGGATAAATAACCTTATATTGTAACACTCCTTCTTTTGCTCAACTTGGTAAGTGCAAGAAAATTATTTTCAAATTCCCCTTAGTACTGAAACAATGATAGGTAATGCTTCAGGGAAAATTCTGCTGAAAAGGAGAATACTCTGCATTGAACATAAACCAAATTTTGCCTCCTGTCGCGTGAACAAAACAAAAGAAGTTTCCACTCGAATTCTAAATTGCAGATGACCTTGCGCTGCTTTGAGAGAGGCTGGCAGCTGAGGTCACTGGAGTGTATTATGATGGACAGTGCAGTGCTGTGCGCTGCTCAGAGGCATGTCCGCTGTGTGGATTACAGCCAAACACAAAGAATTAGACAGCTCGGAGCATTCTATCATTTCATTTGAAAATAATTGTCAAAGTCATGGGCAGCCACCGTTACAGCTTTCAGAAAAGAATAGCATTCCATAATTCCATCACTTCAGACAGGTTGTTGGGCTATTCCCAGCCAAACACTGTGGATCCAGCCTATTCTGTATCAGTGTCTTAGGACGCTCACAGAAGCAGCATTTCTGCAGGAGGCAAATCCCATCTACACTGCCTTGTATGTAGCTCTATCTTACACATTGCGGCTCATTGCTTCAAATTGGCCAAATCATTGAAAGAAATACAAGGAAAAAGGAGACACAGAAGCTTAACACAGCACTCTTAAAATGTAAATATGCAGCAACTCCACACCACTCACTGGCCTCAAGTCAACGTGCTGTTTAAAAGCTTAAAATCAGTTTCAAAATAAAATGCCTGCAATGCCTTCTCTAATACCAACATAAACAAAGCATTTTCAAAAAAAAAAAAATCTAATCTGTTGTCAACCATTCCAAATGAACCTAAGTTAGTTCTGAAATCACAATGTTTAGGTAGAATATTTTTATTCATAGAGGCTTATTTTTAACTTCTGCTTCTTCCAGGAGCAGATTCATGGTAATATCCCCCAAAACAAATAAACAAACAAACAAGCAAACAAAAAACTTGTTTGGGATTTAAAAGCAGGTGTAAGATTTCAGACTTGATTAAAAGGGGAACTTCTATATCTTTGCTTTCCATTCTGCTTGAGTAGTTTCTAAATATTAAGAGAAAAACACACCCTGTTCTTCTCAAAGAGAGACCACCCAAAAGTTGTAACTTACCGTTAAAATTTACGGCCCGAATATAACCAAGTAGCTCTTTCCCATCGATGGTGCTCATGCGTGGGCAAAGGCCAATGTATCCCGGGCAGAGGTCTCTGTGCATGTTGTGCAGGGCGTAAGCCATGGAGTACACCGCATCGATGACAAACTGCACCTTTCCTTCCTGCTCGTAAGAGGAATCCCGTGCAATTCGTTCCAGCCCTGCACAAGGAAAAGGAAAACCATCAATGGGCACTGTTAGATTTCAGGGAAATAAGGCAATAAGGTCAAAACTTCCATCATTTGAGGCACACTCCATGAGACACAACTATTTGATCTTATTTCTGATTATCCTGAGTAAGGTTTTTTAACTGGGTATTGAATTTTTTATTTGGAAAGAATAGAATAGTTTCTGTTCATTAGCAACAAAAACATATAAAGAAAATAAAAGATCTATAGTATCATTATTTTTTATTTCCACTTTATTGAGTCATATCCTATTGTGTGTTCTGGGAGTTTTAGGTTATTTTGGAGGTGACTTAATCTTTAAGTAAAATGTACAGGTTTGTTCTTTACATCGATCCCAGCTCCAGAGGCATCATTTAATTAGTGGCCCAAAGTCAGGTCTCGCTCCAACCAGGTCTGTTCTTGTTTTGAATGAGGTTGATTAGGGAGCCTTGTTTATAAATATTAAATAAAATGTTTCCTGTTTATCTTTAGAAGAATCATTCAATTTATTTTCTTCTTGATCTCATTTTCTTAAAAAAAAAAACATTATTGAGATATAATTGACATATAAGATGGTGTAAGTGTAAGGTATACAAAAGCTTAGATATATGTATGTAATGTGAAATAATTACCTCAGTAAAGTTAATTAACATATTTATTACCTCAATAGTTTCCTTTTCTTGTGGCAAGAACTGTTAAGATCTAATCTCTTAGTAAACTTCTAGTATATTGTACAATACCGTAATAACTTTATGCTGTACATTAGATCCTCATAAATTGTCTAGTTTAATTCTCTATTAAAAAGATGTAGAGTTCTCAAAATGAATATCATTCAGAATAATTGCTCCTATATTTAGGCATAAGTAGGCTAAGAATTGACAACTGTGGATTATCATTTAATGTATAAGGATAGAATTAAAAATGGAAAATAAATCCAATGTTAAAATTAAATGATGCATTATGAGCTACAATCCAATATTCTCATTTTGAAGACCAAGAAACTGAGACATGTGGAGGTGAAATTTATGATGGACACATAGAGCAGATATGGGAACCATCCCAGGTCTTAGACTCGAAGTTCAAAATTCTCTCAATCCCCAGAAAAATATAGATGACAGGAATATTGGGCACAGGAGAAGAAGATTATAGAAAGAACACTGAGAGTTCTCTAAGGGTCACAAGGGGATCTCCTCTTACTTCCACACCCCCTCCCTAACTTTGCTCATCCTGCAACACTTCGAGAGACTGAAAGCAAGCACTTTAAACCTTCCCATGGATGCCAGTTAGTAATCTTTAATAAATAGTCTTTAAATTCAACAAATACTTTTCTTCACACTAACTCATTTAGAGAGTTGAATTGAAATGGTCATTTTATACTCTGATAACATGTTTTTTGCACTCTGATAGAACCAGTGGCTTTCTTCTACACAAAGGTAGTAGTCCTTTCATTGATTTTTATTCATACAATCATTGAACATTTTCCTCCGGTCTCAATCCCTTGCTACACAGATCCTATAAATGCTATTGGTCGATGCTCTATTTTCTGTAGTCTGTCATGATGCTGAATTCTGCTCCTCTTTTTCTCACATGACTTTGAGAATATATATTTTTTATATCTCAACTTTCCATTCCTCAAGATTGAGTCCTCTCCCCCCCCTTCAATCTCAGAATCCATTCATTCTCAAATCCTTTACTTATTATTATTTTTATGGTTTAGAAATATAAATAGTTATGTAAAATGTTAGTTACATGGTCCAAGTCAATTTAACTTATCTTTACACCTAGATTTCTGGAAATTAGTTTTCTAGGACTTTCTTGTCACCTAATGTCTAGCCCACATTTCCAATCACCTACCTTATCTTTATGTAGTCTTCCTCCATGTCAAACTCAGTAAATTTAAACCCAGGCTCTCATTGTAGAGAATGTACATAATTATCTCCCTAAAACTTTTTACTGAGGGTTTTAGTTTGGGGAGCACAAAGAGAGGGGGGCAGAGCAAACAGTGAACATCTTCAACCTGCCTGAGCTTCATGATCTAAGCTAAGATCCATGCATGATGGGGACACTGTCTTCTCCCTATCTCTGTGTCTCCTGGGTTCAAGGACAGAACTACTTATGTCCAGAATGTCATCAATTGACATTCTGGTTTTGCAGTTTTAACTACAAAATAGACAATTCATAAATGCATATTGAAGAATGGTCACAGAAGCCAAAACAATTCAATTATTTATTTAAAAATCTTATCTGGTAACCGATCACTCTGGTTAGTCCAGGACTGTAAGAGTTTCTCAGGATACAGGACCAAATCCTGGACACTCCTGAATAGACCAACAAGGCAAATGACCAGGGCATTTGCTGAGATAGGACTCAAATAACTACTTGGAGTGGTGGTACACCATCACTGTGAAGAAGGCTACCCACCAGGTGAAGTACCAGATGACCGCTGCTGTGGAAAAGGTGGGGTGATTGTGGCAAGGCGGGCATGTAAACAAATGGGGGGGAGGGGCAGGAAGCTGCTGGTGACAGGCCCCAGGCAAGGAGGGCATTGGTGGAAATGCCAAAGAAATTGGGAAAGTAAATATCTCATAGTGAGACTGTTATCAGTGAAGCGACCTTGAAAATGTAGGGAGCAGGAGAACCTCTCCTTTGCCTTCTACTCCTACTCCTACCAGGGTCTGGCAAGCACTGAACCCCAACCTCAGTCAGGAGCTGGTGATGTACCAGAGAAAGGTAGGGGGTGGGGCTGGGCATGCAGAGAGGAGAGGGGGAGGGGTGTTTTCTCTCTTCTGGGGCTCATGCTATGTATCACTCATATGACATGCAGGAGTTTCAGAACCAAGAATTATATAGAGCAGTAAAAATTGAATATACATTTTTTATTTAAAATAGCATTGGACATAATTCACATATTTAAAAATTAGATTTAGCCCTCTGCTCATGACATTGCTTTTAGAATATGTCAGAGCAAATTTGAACTTTCATCCCCATCAAACTTTTTGTTGTTGTTTTTGTTGTTAATCCTCACTGGAAGAGGTTTTTCCATTGTTATTTTTTTGTTGTTGTTTTGTTTTATTTTGTTTTGCTTTTTAGAGAGAGAAGGGGAGAGACAAACATCCAAACATAATTTGAGAGAGATACATGAATTGTCTGCCTCCCGTATGCACCCCAACCCTCCCACACACGCCCAAGACTAGGACCAGGATTGGAGCCTGCAACCAAGATGATTTCCCTTGACCTTATTGGAACCCAAAACCCTTCAGTCTGTGGGCCTCCATTCTATCCACTGAGCCAAACCGGCCAGGGAAGACCCCAACAAACCTTAAAGGTGGTGGGGCACAAAAGGTTTTGCTCAGATCCAAATTCTGTTTGAGGGGAAAAAATATTATAAGTCCTTTCTAACCTCTCTAGAGCAGAAATGACTTAGAGTTAAGATGCTCAACCATAATTCTTTTATGTCATTTGAGGAGAATTCAGCAAGGAACAATCTCTTGATTTTCTTTGAACAAAAATAACAAGCTGGTACAACTTTGGGACAAATATTTCTTATAAAAACTCTAAGGAAAAAAAGGGGAAGGGAAGGTCAGAAGGCTGTTCAGTGACTATTGTCACATGAGTCGATGGACACAAGTCTTTTCTCTAAGTCAATGTAAGCACCTGGTGACAAATTAAAGACTGGGCACTATATTATTTCTAAATTTAAAAAGAAATTATTTGATTTTTTTTCAGGCCCTTTAGACAATGTATATTTCTCTTCCTTCACATTTCGATCTTGTGATGATACTTAAAATTTTATAGCAACTAGTTTGCGCCTCACTTTCTACATCCATTTGCCTCTTTCATCTAAATGAGGAACTTAGGAAGCTGACAGTGACTCATCAACTTAATTGGCTGTGAAATTTCATTATGCTATAGTTTCTAAAGTTAGCGTTAATGTATTGCTATAAAGTGCTAAATATTGTCAAAGGCTGTATGGCAGCCATCCTTTTAAAATACTGATTGTAAAAGTTGCAATGTGTTTTTAGGGTATGGCTTAAAATTAATTGCATGGAGCAAAGTGTTTGTGTGGAGGTAGATGAAGTCAGACACATAAATTTGATTGCAAGAGTATGTGTTCATTATGAAAATCTAAAACTCCTAACAGTATCTCATGTTCCTGACACACAGAACATTCTTACTGGTCCAAGCGATGGGCACATATACCTTAGCAAAGGCCTTTCGCACATCCTGTGTATCTTCTTGGTTTTTGCTTCCTCTTCCTAAAAAGGCAAATTTGCTCATGTCGCAAAGTGCTGTATACATCGCAATATGAGTTCCTTAATAAGCCTGACACAAATTTTAAATTATTTGACTGCCATATAGTTGCTGAACTTGCTTTCTAATAATTTCTCAGGATATGGTTTAATTTTATAAGTTTGGGGCATTTTCCTCTCCTGAAATTAAAAATAAATTAGAAATAAAGCTTCTAATGTTAATATAGCGGTGGTCTACTAAACAGCTGGTCAAATCAGTGGACGGGAGGGAATTAAATTCATATCAGTTTTTTTATTCCTGGGAGAGCAAACATCCAATTGGTTGAATTTTTAATATAGTTTTAGCATGTAGTAGAAATAATCCCTCACTCCCCTAGTAAATTTGTGTCTTAAAAGTATTCCTTTATTTAGTTCCTCCCTGACTTTTTAAGTATATGCAGCTCCTGCTTTAAATAATTAAATCATTTCCTTGCAGTTGCTGTGCAGAGAATGATAAGAGGAAAGAAGAGAATTTGTGAGCTGCTATGAAGAAATACTTTCATGCACATGGGAACAGAATTGTTCCTAATATAACATGTATGTTATTTGAAATCAGTGAGAAACATGCCAAGAACGGCACTGCATACTCAAAAGTAATCGCCATCAAGTTAGCAAACATAACATCATTTTTTACTGAATTTAAACTGATTTGGTTTCCAAAGACACACTAGGGGGAGGATGGAAAGATGTGCAATTATACAGGAA